GCACCCCGTGGTTCCTGAGCTGCTCCCACACCGGCCCTGCTGGTGAGATCCTTCCAGAGCCCCCAGCTGCTTTTGTGAGCACCACAATTCCTCTCGCCCTGGCTGAGCAGCCTCTGGTCCACCGTCTGACGCTTTAAACATGCAAAACGTAAACTCACTCCCGTGTCGTCCCAACTCCCCCTCCCTGGCACTGCACTCCAGAACTTTCTTGACTGGACCTCGGCCGGCTTCCGCCAGCTTCTGGTGCGTCCCACCCCGCCACCCTCGATGCCTCGGTTTCCCCAGGCCACCCTGCTCCTGCCTCCATACCCACCTACTGGCTGTCTGTGCTGCTTAAACCCTGAGTCAGGCCAGGCCTGGGTCCTCCCAAGGGTGCACAAACCGGACACACAGCCCTCGCTGTTCTTCCAACCTACGGCCCGGCCTCCACCCTCGGGGAGGTGAAACGCCCTCCCCCGTATACTGACCCTATTCAAGGCTGCGCCCGCTTCAAGCTGTGCCAGGCCCCGTCTCTCTGCCCTGACTACTTACTGCATTTCACATTGCACCCTTCCCCCAGCCCTCTCTGTCCCTCTTAGCACAGGGCACTGATATCACTCACTTTCAGTTTGTTTCTGTCTCCCCGCCCCCACTAGAATGTTGGCTCCCCAGGTAGGGAACTTTGTCTGTTTTGGCCTCTGCTCTGTCCCCGGCATCCAGGACAGCGCCGGAACACAGCAAGCACTCACGAAATACAGACTGATGCCCCTTGGCTCACCACAGGCTCAACACATCCCATAAACCCAGTAAGATAAAAAGATCCTAAGTCGAAAACGCACTGAATGCACCTAACCTGGCGAACATCACGGCTTAGCCAGCCTGCTTTAAACATTCTCAGAAACCGGCGTTAGCCTTCGGCCAGGCAGTCATCTCATGCACAGCCTGCTGCATCACGAGGGGCTGACTGGCTCGTTCATTCGTGGAGTGCTGTCCTGAGGGTGAGAAGCAGTGGGTGTGTGGGTCCTGCAGATCGCTTTCTCCCCAGTGTACGCGTCTTTCGTGCCAGCGTAAAGTCACACAGTCCCGGATGAGAAGTTGGGGATCGCCTGCATCTGTTGACTGGCAGCTCCCACCCACTGTCTCTGGGCTGCTATGCTCTTCTTCCAGTTCTTTTTTATTTTATTATTATTTTTGAGACAGAGTCTTACTCTGTCCCCCAGGCTAGAGTGCAATGGCACAATCTTGGCTCTTTGCAACCTCTGCCTCCCCGGTTCAAGCAATTCTCCTGCATCAGCCTCTCAAGTAGCTGGGATGACAAGCATCCTCCACCACGCCTGCCTAATTTTTTGTATTTAGTAGAGATGGGCTTTCACCATGTTGGTCAGGCTGGTCTCGAACTCCTGACCTCAGGTGACCCACCCGCCTAGGCCTCCCAAAGTGCTGGGATTATAGGCGTGAGCCACCATGCCTGGCCCTCTTCTTCCAGTTCTGATGTTTGAGGATTCCACCCCAGGGGGGCTCTCACATCTCTAAGCCTGAGCCATGTGCCCTGCCTGTCCCACCAGATACTCTCAGGAGATTGACAGGTAGCACATCAGGGAGTCTCTTCCTTCAACCATGGACTAAGGAATGTGAGAAGAACTTTTCTGCCCCACCTTGCAACTCCAGAGGAATAAAAGGAGAAAGGAGGAAGGAGGAAGGCCCCCTCTGCCCCCTCTGCCCCGACCCCCACCCACCATCTTCCCTTCTGCTGGCAGGAACAGGAAAGCTGCCTCCTACCCCTCCTTCCCAGCAGGCTCCGAGACCAGGCATCTCGGAGATAAAGCAGATACGAACACCTCCCACTAGTCACGGGACTCCACCCGGTCCCACAGCCAGGGGGCACACAGAAGGGGACAGAAAATGCCAAAGCCCTAGTTGAGATTTCAAAATATGACACCCTCTTTGGAGGGATGGTGGTGCCTGCTGGGAACTAATGGGGTGGGGATGGCTCCCTAGCTTGTCACCGCTGTAGAGTCCTCTGGCTTCCCTGCTGGGGAACAGGGACTGGGCCATGCTCACCACTGCCTCTCCACTGCCTAGCATCAAGTCCAGCGCATAGTAGGTGCTCAGCAAGTATTTGGTGAAGGGATGGATGAATGACTGAATGATGGATTCAGTCCCGGGTGAGATATGCAGATGGTGTTGTGGGTGACATGAGTTTGTGACCCAGCCCTTGTGAGGCCACAGCGGCACCAGGAGGGCAGGTGGCAGCGGATGCCCGTGCACTCACTCTGCCGGCGTCTCTGCCTCTCCCAGCTCCCTGCACGCTTCTCCCAGGGCTGCTCTCATCTTCTCTGTCCCCCCTCGGCGCCACACTCAGCGTCTGGCACAGAGTGGGTGCTCAATAAATACCCGTTGAATGTAACGCATTTCAATTCAACAGACATTTATTGAGTGCCCACTGTGTTGAGTGTCACAATCCTACTTTCCTTGGGCACCACAGATGGGCGACCCGAGGCCCGGGCGGGCTTGCTGTGTGCAAACGCTCTGTTCGGTGAGCACTGTATGCAGATGGAACTGCTGCGCATGGACTCAGGTCTCGGGCTACCGGTGAGAATCAAAAGAACCCCGAGAGAAAAGAGTGGCCAGCTCTCCATCTGCACGTGCTCCCCTTCCCACCTGGATTCCTCAGGAGGCTGCAGATGGCAAGGCTCACCTGATCCAGGCACAGCTGGCAGCCTGGGTCCTTGCTGCCATTTCCATGCGAATCGGGAAGCAAGGCAATGCCATTGAGATGGAAATAAAGGCACAATCAGAATGGTTAGACACAATGGGTTTCCTGCTCAGAGGACTTGATGTCAAAACACCAGGAGAAAGTGCAGGAAGGACAGCAGCACCGCCGCATATGGCAAGGGGAAGACACACACGTCTTTGCTGGGCACAATCCCCCTGGGGAATTCGTGAGTTCAGCACGGGCCGTAGGAGTCCTGCAGACTCAGCACGCCAGGATGGAGGCAGCTGCGTCCTGCATGGGTCTGAACAGGCAGCCTGGAGGGAGAACGTGACGGCGAGGGGCAGGGCTGACACAGGCCCTGGCCGCTGAGTGACCAGCCCACCCACACACCTGCCATGGCTTCCGGACCTCGAAGGGCCTGCCCCCCGCCAGGCTTGTGAGCTCCTGGGGTAACTCCAGGGCACCTACGTTCCGGTATTTTTAAACGAGGAAGCAGTGTATGAGGTGAAGGCCACATGTGCTGGTCATACAGCCTTTCAGGGGTCCGGGGGGCAGCCCAGCTCTAGCCTGGCTTCTCCCACACAGCACCCCTCCTCCCTCAGTCCTGAGCCACAGGCAGGGCACAAACATCAGTGGGAATTCTGGGGACAGTAGTTGGCCTCCCCGAAGAGTCTGAGGGGAGGTCATCAAATTGAGGAGGTCATGAGTGTGGCCCCAGCCCAGCTGAGTCCTGCTGGCCACCTGGATGGGAAGGACTGAATGATGCCACCCTGAGATCCCCAAACACTGATTTCCTGGTTCCCAGGGCCAGGGCCAATGCCTTGATGCCTGGACACTGAGCAAGGTGGGGGCTGTGCTGAGGAAGCTACTGAGCTCGTGTAAGAGGAGCTCCCCTTACAAACACAACTGCATCAGGACACGTGAGTGCAGGGCAGAGGGGCCACGAGCCAGGCCAAGGTTCCCTGGCCTGCAGGCAAGCGCTGTACCACCCGGGGGCAGGGATTCCTGGGAGCCAAGAGAGAGGGACCGGGGGAGTGGCAGGCAGTTGCCCATGGGGCACAGGCGGGCATATGTGGACCAGCCCCGTAGCCCCCCTGCCTTGTCTGCAGATGAAATGGGCAGTTCCTCCGGAAGGAACAAGCTGCCATCTGGGGTGAGCCCCTCTCCCTCTGGGGGATTTTTTTGAGGGTGGCTTTCCTATGGTGACATCAGCCTTGTGCCCAGCCTCTGGGATCCTGATATTTACAAAGCTGCACCCCAGGTGGGGACAGAGGCCTGAGGGTTACAGGACACCTGCTTACAGAGATCACATGCAAGCAACACACCTTTCTTTGTTTAAAAGTTATTCTTTAACGTACTATAGTCTCCAAGTCTCTGCGTCACATCGAAACACTTTTCTACTTAAGTTGTTAAGTGAGATGGTTTCCAGTTTCCAGGCATGAGGATGAGGATGAGAAGCGGTTTCTGTTTACTGAGCATCTACTGTGGCTGGCTGAGTGCCACAAGTGTACCCAGTTCCACCCGGCCCCTGTCACACGGCTGGTCAGTGGCGAGCTGGAATTTGAACTTGGGTCTGCCTCACTGCAAAGCCAGGTCTTTCTTCTGCTCTCACACCTCCCGGCCCCTGCTCCTAAGCTGAGCCCAAACCTTGCCCACAGAAATCTGCCTCCAGCCCAGCCGAGGCCCTTCTGGGAGGCGCTGAGTGGGTCTGGCTGCACCTGCTACTGGTTTTCACCTATGAGTTACAGCGGCTGGAAGCAAACAGCATTATCTGGGGTTTTCTGTACATTTGAAAATCACTCCCGATTCAGTCTTCATAACACCCCTAGGGTCAGGCAGATGCCACTCCTGTCTCCCTGTGAGGCCTGAGGCAGTGCCTTGTTCACGATGAGTCACAGGGGACAGGGGTGGTGCTGTCATCAACTCCAAGTCTGCACTCATCAGCCGGACCAGGCCCACGTCTGCTCTGGAGGGAATAGGCCCCGACTTCCACCCGTCAGCCCGGATGCCTTTCTCCTGAACAGCCCAGGGGCAGATCTGGCTTTCTGCATTCTCGCAGGCCCTGGAGAGCCGTGAGGGGACATGCAGGCGTGACCCCTGCTAGCACACTGGCTCGGGGACAGCCAAGTCAGCAAACGGCAAGAGCCCCGCTTTCCATCCAGTCGGCGCTTAGATTTGCTGGCTTGCTCTTATGCTTTTTAACAGGCAAGGCTCAGATGTGGGGGGACTGCTCTGAGTTACGGGGCCCCTTTGCTGCAAGGCCTTTCGTGCACATCGCAGCTGCTTCTTCAAAAGAACCACTCACGTGCATGAAAGCTGTCCCCTGGCGTCCGGTGGAGAGGGTCTCTGTCGGGCCCGCTGCTGTGGGACAAGGACTGGCTGTCCAGGTCTGGAGAGTCGGTCCTCGTGTCTGCCTCCCCCTTGAGCATCAGCCAGCTGCGCTTCTGCTGAAGGCAATAACAACGTCATGTGGATTTCGAGGTCGTCTGCAGTGGTGGAAACATCTCACTGGACCTTTCCTGTAGCTTCTTTACTTTTTTTTTTTTTTGAGATGGAGTTTCACTCTTGTTGCCCAGGCTGGAGTGCAATGGCGTGATCTCTGCAACCTCCACGTCCCGGGTTCAAGCAATTCTCCTGCCTCAGGCTCCCGAGTAGCTGGGACTATGGGCACATGCCACCATGCCAAGCTAATTTTTATATTTTTAGTAGAGACGGAGTTTCAGCATGTTGGCCAGGAGGATCTCGATCTCCTGACCTCGTGATCTGCCCATGCTGGCCTCCCAAAGTGCTGGGATTACAGGCGTGAGCCACTGCGCCTGGCCAGCTTCCTTGCTCTTAACCTATGAGCTGACCGCACTGTGAGAAAACTAAATACGTGAGAAACGTAGCTTTCAATAAAAATCTCGCTGCTGAGTGAGACCTATCCAGACGCTGTACAGGTACAAAGAGCATCTGGGGGAAAGGGAGCTGCCCCATCTTAAGGACACAGCCATCCAGGCTCTGGGAGGCCAGGGACCTGCAGGGATCCGCATGGGAAGAACGATGGAGGCTGCCAAGTCCAGCCGTGGGCTCTTCCCATACACAGCCCTGCTTTCCAGCGCTAGAGCAGGTGAAGGGAGCCATAGGAAAGCCACCCCCAAAAAAAATCCCCCAGAGGGAGAGAGGCTCACCCCAATCGCCACGCCCTGCCCACAGCCTGCTTTTATAATGAGCGTGGTGTTGGAACACGGAGATTCCCGTTCATGTCTCGGATCTGGCTGCGCTCACAGAGTTCGGTGGCTGCACGGGAGATGGTGCAGCCCACAAAGCTGGAAGTATTTACTCTCTGGCCCTTTATGAAAAACACCTGCTGAACCTGTTCTAGGCCAGTGGATGCCCCAGGGATACACTCTGGCTTATCTCCCTTTCACGGCACACATCTCTGGAGTCACAGAACCATAACCAAGTCACACAGGCACATAACCAGGACCTTGGTAGAAGATGTGTGCGTCCTAAATGCAGGAAGGAGACTGATGGAAAGGCCTCGTGCTTTTGGCCTTGCAGGGCCCCTAGGGAACAGAATGTAAGAGAAAGATTCTGAAGCTCCCATTGGAGAAGCCCCCACAAAACCGCTTTCTTTCTGAGCAAGGCTGTTCTAGGCCAGCTCCACTCCCTGGCTTTACCTTCCTGTTATCTGGGTCGAAGCTTCCATCCTCCCCATCGGATCGCCTCGCAGCTGGAAGGGAAAAAACAATTTGTAAAGGCAACACGATATTTATTGTGGGTTTCCGCATCACAGTTTCCCATGTTACAGTTATGCTCAAAAATGAAAAATCAATCAAAGAGAAGGTCAAGGAACAGGGTGACCTGGACGAGGCCCCCGGAGAACCTCCCCGGGAGCCACAGCAGCAGGGCTGTGAAGTGAGGCCAAACACCCTCACAGAGCAGAGTCACGTTTGCAGATGCAGCCACGTGGCCTTTGAGTTTGTTTTGTTGTTTTGTTTTTCGAGATGGAGTCCCACTCTGTTGTCACCCAGGCTGGAGTGCAGTGGTGCAATCTCAGCTCACCGCAATGTCCGCCTCCTGGGTTCAAGCGATTCTCTGGCCTCAGCTAACCAGGGAAGCTGGGATTACAGGTGTGTGCCACCACGCCTGGCTAAGTTTTGTATTTCTGGCAGAGACAGGGTTTTGCCGTGTTGGTCAGGCTGGTCTTGAACTCTTGACCAAGTTCTCAAGTAATCCACGTGCCTCAGCCTCCCAAAGTGCTAGGATTACAGGCTTGAGGCACCGTGCCCCGCCCACTTGGCCTTTGGAGAACATGCATTTTAAACACCTCCCACCTGACACAAAGTCTCAGTCGTGGGGGTCAACATGTCTGACCTGGGCGAGGGGCTCTGCATATGCCAGTGCCTACCCCACCCACTCCCCCAGGAAGGGGCTTCACACCGTTTCACAGATCAGGAGACTGAGGCTCAGGGACGTGGCATGCCTCACACAAGGTCCTGGATGAGTGGGCACCAGAGGCCAACGTGAGCCAGGCCTTCTGAGTCCGAAGTCCTTCCCTGTCTGCCCCACCTGGCAAACTGCGAAATGGTGACGAGCTCTGCTACTGGAAGACGCCCACGAAGGGCGGTCAGGAAATGACAGGATTACGAAACGCGACCGGAATGGACTCAATGACCCAGAACAAGCGAAAGTCCATTTCCCAACAGTCCCTTTACCAAGGATACTATCTGGAGCTCAGTAACAAAGCGTCTGGATTTTCCATTCGCCTTTTTTTGGGGGAGGTTGTCACCCAGCTGGGCTGACATCTCCAGCCAAGAATGAGCAAATAAATCACACAAGGCCATGCTGACATTTCTTGGCATCCAATTTAGCACGTAAAGCCCCACACCTTCTGTATCCTGTACAGAAACACTGACCCCATGCACTGAACAATCACACAAAAAACGCGTCTCGGTCCCCAGCCCACCACGAAGACCCAGGCCTCAGGAGGGACACGCTGAGGTGGGCTTCTTACCTGCAGCGGGTGGCAGGCTCGGGCCCATCTGTCTTTTGGCGTACCCTGCCTCCTGCACCACCAAGGACAAGACTGATACCAGGCCAGAGAGCTTGGAAATTTGGGATTGGGCTACAGGACCTTGACAAGATAAGGCCAAAATTGAAGACTGAGCAGTTCTGTTCCGAATACACTGACATCTTGTTACTCTGAACAGCTACCTGTTTCTCCTTCTTCCAGGAGAGACTGATTTTCAGCGTGAGAATACAAAGCCCTGCTCTCCCCACTCACAGAGGCAAATCAATGCCCAGCCTACTCAAGAAGCGCTTAATGGCGAGGCAGAGGGGGCAGGGAGCTCTGGGGGACGCATGCCCATAGCCGGAATCTCCTGTTGCCCAGACAACGGCCGTCGCCCGGCAGCAGAGCCCTTGAGTGTGTGGCCATGCATCAGTCATGACTCTTGGCAGCTGCCCAGCAAGTCCCCGGGACAAGGCAGGCCAGGGACTACTTGGAGCTCTAAGAGCATAGCCATCATCCAAGCCAGAGAAGCCCCTGGGGCTGAGTCGGCTGGCAAAGGTAAGTGCACCATTTCCTGAAAAGCCAGGAGGCCGGAAAGTGGATCACCACACTTGGAGTAATCTGCAGGTGCATGGATAATTCAGTCGCTCCAGCTGAAGGGCCCTTGGGGACATGAAATCCCAGCCCTTGGAATTCAGGCCTGGGGGCCCAGAGGCCACCCTGGCTTCAAGGACTTCCCATGGCCATGGAAGATGGCTGACCAGACACATTCTGGCTGGAGAGCCATCTCAGGTCTCAAGAACAGCCCCTGCCATCTGAGAGAGGGATATTCTGCCAAGATTCAGCAAGATTCCTCTGCAAACACTGCCAGCTCCTCCAGATGTGCACAGTTTAACCAGATTTGTACCAAGGACTTTTTGAAAACCAGTTTGCAAGTCCACAAAACAGATGACCAAGTCTCTCGAGAACTAGGAGGCTGAGTAGGAAAAGATAGGAAAGTGGTACTTTGCATTATTGGTGCCTTGCTCCCGTAACAGCTCTGAGACTCAGTTTCCTCATCTGTAAATGGGCAAAGGATGCCTACCCCTCCAAGTTGTGAGGACCACGTGAGATAACCTGCATGAATGCGGGGACATAATGGAAAACTCAGCTTACAGTTTGAAAAATTAGGGATAAACAAGAGGCCAACGTTGAGGCTGCTTTGGGATGTCAGAGAAAGATCAGTTCAGGGCAGTCAGAGAAAGAGTTTAAAATGTCTCTTGCGGCCGGGCGCGGTGGCTCACGCCTGTAATCCCAGCACTTTGGGAGGCCGAGGCGGCTGGATCACGAGGTCAAGAGATCGAGACCATCCTGGTCAACAAGGTGAAACCCCGTCTCTACTAAAAATACAAAAATTAGCTGGGCCTGGTGGTGCGCACCTGTAGTCCCAGCTACTCGGGAGGCTGAGGCAGGAGAATTGCTTGAACCCAGGAGGCGGAGGTTGCGGTGAGCCAAGATCGTGCCATTGCATTCCAGTCTGGGCAATGACAGCGAAACTCCATCTCAAAATAAAATAAAATGAAATGTCTCTTGCACCACACAGGAGCTCCTCCCGAGTTCTGGAGTGCATTTGTCATGAGGCACCCTCTTGGGAAAGGCCGACTTTCTATTCTCTGTATTCTTTGGGATACCTTTGGTTGGCGGCGTCTGAATGAAAGCAAGAGGTCTCAAATTATTTTTCTGTGTACAGAACCTACCTGCTGTTCCTCCTTCCCAAACCCCATCTTATAATTCATTCACATGAGAACATCCATGCTAGCCTATGTGCATCTCTTACCCCTTCATTCCTTTCCACACCCTTATCTATTCATCTACCCATCCATCTACCCATCCACCCACCCATCTGCCCATTCATCCATGCATCTACATGCCCACCCACCCACCCACCCATCCACTCATCCATCCATCCATCTGCTCACCACCAACTATTCATCTATCCATCCATCCATCCATCTACCCATCCACCCACCCACCCATCTACCCACTTACCCATGCACCCACCCATCCACCCACTCACCCATCCATTCACTCATCCTTCACCCATCCATCCATCCATCCATCTGCTCACCACCATCTATTCATCTATCCATCCATCCATCTACCCATCCACCCACCCACCCATCTACCCACTTACCCATGCACCCACCCATCCACCTACTCACCCATCCATTCACTCATCCTTCACCCATCCATCCATCCATCCATCCACTCACCACCATCTATTCATCTATCTATCCACCCATCCATCTACCCATCCACCCACCCACCCATCCATCTACCCACTTACCCATGCACCCACCCATTCACTCATCCTTCACCCATCCATCCATCCATCCATCCATCCACTCACCACCATCTATTCATCTATCTATCCACCCATCCATCTGCCCACTTACCCACCCATTCATCCATCCCTCTCTTTGTCCGCTTCATTTCTTTGCTCACTGATGCATCCATTCATCCATGTAGCCCTTAATGCACAGATCAGTCCATCTACCCTCTGTTCACCCGTAGCCCCTCAACCTTCGTCCCCCTCTCCTTGTCCCGAGTGCCTACTGTGCACTGTACTGTCTCACGAATGGGGAATGCCGAAAAAACTCAGACATGACCCTTGTCTTTCAGAAGCTCACCGGCCAGTGAAGTGGAGGCAGAGGTGGATGAGAAGGTTTCTGTACGTAACAAGGGCTTTGATGGGAGGAGCAAAGCCAGCACAGAGGTGCGCTCCTGAGAACATGCGTGCGCTAAGTACCACGGAACACCTACTCATTGGATGAACCCTGTATTGTGGTCTGGATAAACTTTTCTTTTTTGAGATGGAGTCTCACTCTACCGCTCAGGCTGAAGTGCAATGGCGTGATCTCGGCTCACTGCAACCTCTGCCTCCCGGGTTCCAGCGATTCTCCTGCCATAGCATCCTGAGTAGCTGGGATTACAGGTGCTTGCCACCATGTCTGGCTAACTTTTTGCATTTTTAGTTGAGATGGCATTTCACCATGTTGGGCAGGCTGGTCTTGAACTGCTGACCTCAGATGATTCACCCGCCTTGACCTCCCACAGTGCTGGGATTACAGGAGTGAGTCCCTGTGCCCAGCCCTTGGGTAAACATTTTTAAAGCATGTTAACAGAGAATAATAGATGCTATGAACCTCATTTACAGATGAGGAGACCGAGGTCTGGAGTCTAAGTTCACATAGATGGTAGTTGGAACCTTGTGTGTTTCTGACCCTGAAGCCAGAGCTGGAGTCCCTTTGTCCCCATGTCACACATGGACATTTTGAGACTCAGGGCTGCATGACCAACCACTTTGCTTCCTGTGACTTGTACAAATCCACTTCCCCACGGAGCAGCTGAAGAGAGATGCTTCGAGGGCAAGGGCTGCATGTGTTAAGCCTCTGCACTCCCTTTGGTGACCGATGTGCCAATCTGCAGCCCCAGGTGCACAGAGGAAGTGAGTGAGATGGACACGGCCCGTGTTTCCAAGGGAGGGCCCTAACCTAACCCTAACCCTAACCCTACCAGCTCCCTCTTTGCTGGCATCAACTCAGCAACAGCCCTAAGCTCCAAGGATCTCTTGCCAGTGTGCGGGGGCCAGCAGCGGTGGGGCTGTTCCACCACTGTGCCGGCGGTGCCAGCCAAGGCTCTGCCACCAGAAGGTGGTCTCTGCCATACTCCTCACCAGA